CCTCGTATCTTTAAGTTTTTGTTACAAAATCGACAGCAGTCGTTTACATTTGCACTAGCTGACATGCCGCCATCCCTTGTTTTGTGTTTACTGAAACGGCTTGGGTGCCGCTAGTTGCTGCGTCATATCCTGTGTGCATCTAATTGGTTGATGCAGTCTGTCAACCACGCCCACCGGGAATTCGCTGAGATCAAGCTCGTTCCCAGACTATATGTCTTTGAAAAAGCATATCGTTTGGCAGGCCAGGCAAGGATTTGTCCTCCTAGCCTTGGCCCCTGCTGATGTCTGCACTATTCAACCCACTCCATCAAGAGTGGGTTGACGACTGGAGTCTGCCAGTCTACTCATTTGACATATGATAAGACACATAACCTTTCTTAAAGGCACACCGTGTAACTCTTGGCCACTAGGGGCGCTAGACCTGCAACTTTCACGTTTAGCGCCCCTAGTGGCCACAAGCAACTCAGCACTGTCGCAAAAGTCAACAAACAGTCAGCCGGTGTCTTTTGAGTGTGTATTCAGACAGCATGCACTGGTGTGTGTGTTCAAACTGTAGAGACATGCCTACAGATATTGAGAGACTCTGCTGTGGTCAGCCTCCAGACCGCTGCATTAGTAATCTACCACACATGGACTTCTATATCCTGGATGAGGGAGTTCTGCGTCTAGCTCGTGCTGCGTGGAATGACATCTTTGCAGTCGATGACATCCAGGAACCAGGTGAAGAGCAGCGCTCATACAGACATGCAGCTTACAGCACGATCCCTTTCGCGTTTCCTCTTTTTAGCCTCCTCCGAAGGTTTAAAATTTTTCCTTGCCTCAGCCATGACCAGGAGTCGAGCAGGTGAAAAATGAGTAGCAAAAGCCTTAGCTCCATGAGTATATCAGCGCCTGTAGCCGTAAAGCAAGTCTTTCTTCCAAGTCACGTGACCTGGTGGCAGACGGTCCGTCTGCTCGAAACTTACATGGGCGGTATTTCAAGAGGGCAGCCCCGCTCGGAGCATTGCAAGTGTCAAGCGCTGTATATTGGCCCAAGTATTCATATAAAATAACTCATATGTGTCAACTCTTTAGGTCACAAAGTCCGCGGTGTGCCTTTAACATATATTTACTTCATATTTTAGGTGATTTCATGTACTTAGATATTAGGTTAATTAGTGTGATGTGTTTTGTACTGCAATAGGTTTGTCCTTTAGGAAAGCGGGCTGTGGAGACTAATTCGGGGAGTTGTTTAGACAAGAGATGGATCTCAGACCGGTGACAGCTGCCTGGAGACTTTAAGCAATAAAATCTATAGATTGGGGAGGAGTAGTGCGTGAATGATTCTGTTTAGGTGCGGAATGGAGACGAGGAAACCAGATGGTGCGAAGGCGGATCACGGGACCGGAAGCTGCCTGATACCACGCCCCTTCTTCCTGCACATTGACTTATAGTGAATAGCTTGAATGTGTGAAGTTAGTTTTTTAGACCGGACCAGGGACAGCAGTGTGACTTTGTGTGGAGCGCCCACCCAAAGTTATACTTTTATACTTTATATAGAGAATAAGGGATAGCTACTTTTGGTCCGGACAGCTATTTTAGATTCTTTTTGTATTAGGGAAATAAACCTTTTTGAATTTAACTTTCTGAATTTTGGTCATCTTTATAAGGGATTTTGAACACGTCATTTTTTAATACGATACTGCTAATTTACACATCACGCATTACAGCACGTACGCGTTATACGCGCAGCAGACGCGCATAACTTTTTTCCATGTTAACCTATGATGATATTTACACTTCTAGCGTTATACGCCCGTATGACGGACGTATGACGCGAAGCTGCGCTCTAATTTAGGATGGATTTCTAATTTTGTGTGCGCACCAACGCGTTTCCCATTGAAATCTCATGTAAAACATGATTTTTCTAGCGGTCCTTGGCTCTAGATCGCATCTGCACACACACAGCACTTGTGTCTAAACATCAGCAGGTTTTACAGTGATTCTGGACATCATTTTTTTTCTTTCATAAAGTCTCACGTCTGGCCAAACCAGCGCACATGAGGACAAACACATGCATATGATTTGTGTTGCTCTACATCAGTCCTCTGGCCCGTATTGTCCTCTACACTGCTCCATAGACTACACAGGGAGAGCATCAGAAGACGCGGACCTGCGCGCACGGCCAGTGTAGATACTCCAAAAAAATGTTACGCGCAGAGAGCGCGCAGTAAACAACGCGCTGTTTACGCCTACTGTGTAAATTCCCCGTAAGACTCCACTCAGCACTTTTCACGGCATAAATTTCATATACAGCTGCTTCAATGACCTCAAGTTTTCAATTAAATTATGTACTATGATACAACTTGTATGTAGTAAAAAGCATTATTGTGAACTACTTAGAAAAAAAAATCGGGTTATAGCTTCTTTAAATACAAGCACAAAACAGAATGACAACACGTGAATACTGCAGATAATACGAGATATAGCACAGTAGCACGGGAAGGACGTTAGCTTAGCTGCTATCGATAGCTAAATTAAGCTAAATGTAGCTAGCTCACTGTGTACAAAAGACAATCAAACACTTACATGGGTGAATACATTTCAGGACGTAATGTAGCCGAAGCAGAGCCGAGCAGAGCAGCCGGTTTTAAAGATGGCGGTTGAGTTGTTTTTCCCAAAGGGTCAGACGTCGCTTCCAGTGACGACACTCGTTGACCAATCAGTGTAAGGCAGTGGGCCGACGTCACGCCGGGTATATGCGCCAGAATATACCCGGGGTTAAAGTAGCCTAGGCCAGATTACACCCCGGGGGTTAAAGTAGCCAAGGCCAGAATAGACCCCGGGGTATAAACTGGCCTAGGCTAATTTAACCTAGCCTGGCTCTGCCAGACCCTTGTAGTTCCGCCATGCTCCACCAGAGGCGTTTGGCTGAACCACATGGGTTTGGTATCGAGCCCATAGCGAACGCCTTCCCCAGATTATTTTTTAATCGACCAATCAGGATTGCCGGTGTTACGTGGGGTTTGCACTGCCTTCTCACGCTTCTCTCATGCAGCAGCGAGAGGAATCCAAGATGGCAGACATAAAGTCCGCGAATCTTTTTAAAAGAGTAAATACGATCCAATTAAGACACGAATGTCACTTTTAATGAAATTTGAGGCGAGATGTAGATGGTTCTAGGTTGATATATGTGTGTTTTAAGAGTCAAATGTTCCTGTAAAGTTTAGTTGAAGCACCGGTTCAGTGTTCCTGTTTACACACTATGCAGCAGGGTTGCCAGGTTTGGTGGTTCCCGCATATTTTTTCCAAGAGACTTGTAGGTATTAAATAAACAGAAAGACAATAAACAGAATCATGATAGCCCAAGTTGATTATATTCCTTTTTTTATTTTTTTGGGTATTCTCGCGGATTTTGGGTTGGAAAATCTTGCTGGGATTTGGCAACCTATGGGAGCCGTGTGCTTTGATGTGAGTGGTTGAAAGCAGACTTCATTCAAGATAACGGACAAGTCGTCTATCCAATCACATACAAGGATTTTTTTTACAAGGCCCTGCCTTCTGAAATCCAACCACTATGGCTGTGTCCAAAACGCTAGGCATCGGGCCGCGTAGGGTGGTTGCGTAGGCATCGAGGGAAGGCCGCGTAGCCACAGGCGAGTTAGGTGGCGAGACCAGAGGTGGATTTGGACAGCAGCTGCCTTCGTTGCCTGGCAACCCAAGACTCAGAGCGGAGCGGAGAGAAAGGACAGCGCCGCCATGATGGAAGGTAAAAAGTTTGAAATACGCTTTGATTAGGGTATAATAGTTAATTGTAATAACATTTGAGGCGAGAAATACCCCCCTCTATTGTCATCTCACAGGTCTGTTTGGTGATAAAATAGATTTTTTTTCCGGACTTATCCACTAGCTAACAGCGGGGGTGGGCGGCGCCGATGCCCAGACAAGACTCCTAAACGCGTGGACTCATTTTGACAAGCTCCCCTGGTGCTAGTAGTCAAATATGAAAACAAGACAACCCTAAGTGAATACAATGAGGGATTTTCTTTGTTATAATAAATGGTATAATTACTAGTTCCATTATATATATGCATTATGTAGATTTAGCACTTTTTTAATGTAATCAATATTTTTGTATGGCCCTTGCTCATCTGTTTTGTGTATATAAGTAAGTTGCATTATATTTGTTGAAACATGTTTTTTGAAAACAGATTAATAACTTGTATTTGTATATTACAATTGTATTTGTATATTACAATTGTCTGAAGTCAAAAGCTAACTTATTGTTAGTATAAGGACTGCTGATAAGTGTACTTTGTAAACAAAAATTACATACACATTCTGCCCTGATGTCTAATTATTATAGCAGTTAACAACCACAACTACTGCAGGAGTATAAGACACAATATTGTATTTGTTGTCATTAATTTGTTTCTACTCTTTTTTATGTAATTACAGAATGAAGAGTCTGATCGTTGCCAGGATTGATTCCATCTGCTCATGATTTAATAAAGAACTTCTCATTGGAGACTCACTACACCCTTGAGTTACTTCTTCATGCAATCAGACTGTACAATGAGTAATGCTTGCTGACCCTGTGCATGTCTATCACATTATAAATATTTGCAAAACTGTACAGTAATAATTGAAATTGAATTGAGTTAATGGCTCTCTAATGTTAAGACATTTGATGACATTGTCTTTCTTCAATTAAAGATTTCTTTTATGTTGTTTCATTCTCTTGAGTAGTCACATGCCCAACACTGGACACTGAAATGTGGGACAAATAAAGGATCTCTTATCTTCCCATATGGAATTCTTTTTGTATTGACTGCATTATTGTTTTAATTATTCTCTTTGAAAATAATGATTAACTACGGATTACATTTGAGTACTGTACTCTTTAACACGTCTTTGTAAACTATTCAATGATCAAGATTGATAAAAAAATAAAAATAAATAAGTACGTTGGTCCTATGTGCATTCCGCTGTGTGCAAATTCAGTTTTTGTTGTTGTAAGGATGGATCCTGAGTTAGCAATTTTGTTTTTCATTGTTTTAAACTTATTCAATGAGCTCGAGAGAGACAGGCAGGCACGCAGGCGACGAGTGGTCCTTCTGCGCACCAACAATGTAAGTTACGTTTTTTATACGAGATTATACTGTTTTGACAGTCAAAAAGGGTTAGCATGAAATTGTTACAGATGTACTAAACATAACAAAGACCAATGGTGCTAAAGTTAAAACGTTTTCCTTTGTTTTAATAGAGCTAGCATTACACATAATTCAATGAATAGTCATCAAAAACATTGCAACAATACTCATTACCAATAGAAGTCACCACTGCCCACGTTTTAACTAATGATCTTAACCTATTGCATATAAAAAATGATTATATTATACATACATTATGTACATACATTATTTATAAAGAGTAGTTACAAAATCTGGAATGACACATTCACTTTTTGTATTCGTTTTTCCAACAGGATAGGAGTCCTTACTGCAGGGTAAACCTGAGGGTGCCAGTGCTGGACAGTTTTTTTAATGATGGAGATTTACGTCCAGATTTTCGGCTGAGCAGGGACTCGTTTGGTGTGTTGCTGAACCTCCTGCACCAGGACCGGCACCATGGATGGGGTGCAGAGATTGAGGTCCTGGTCTTCCTCTTCTGGCTGGCTAGTGGGGCATCATACCGGGTGGTGTCCGGGTCTTTGGGATGCCCAGATCCACCGTCCACTTCATTGTCCACCGGGTCACTGGGGAGGTGGTGGCACTACGCCACCGAGTCATCCACCTCCCAAACACCCCTGAAGACCTGCAGACAGTGACCCGGGGGTTTGCACGGCTGGCGAGGAGCGAGGTCTTCACAAGAGCTGCTGGGGCAATAGATGGCTGTCACGTCGCGATCAAGCCTCCAGGCGGCCCTGATGGTCAATGTTTCCAGAATAGGAAACTTTTCGCAAGCATAATTCTTCAAGCGCTGTGTGACCATCAGGGCCGCTTCATGGACATCTACGTGGGCTGGCCTGGGTCAGTCCACGACTCCAGGGTCCTCCGCTACAGCCCTCTGTACCTCAGAGGGCTGTATCCTCCTCCAGGGCACTTCCTCTTGGCGGATGGAGGGTATCCCTGCCTCCAGCGTCCTCTCCCCCTCATCACTCCCTACAAGCGGCCGGTGCAGGGTGTGGCGTCCCGGCGCTTCAACGCTGATCATTCCAGGGCACGCTCCATTATTGAGTGTGCCTTTGGAATGATGAAGACGAGGTTCCGGGCCATCTTCTTTCACACCCTGGAGGTGCACCACACCTTTGCACCAAATGTAAGTGATAACCATGTTTGCAAACTTTCAAACATTTTCAACTTCCTGTAATTCACTTCAAAATACAGTATTTATCATAATATTGTCTTTATCCATGTTATTAATACTGCAGCTTTTTCAGGTCATCGCCGCTTGTGCTGTCCTTCACAACATCTACCTTGGGGTTGGAGATGTTGTGGCCCCAGAGGACAGCCCAGAGGACAACACAGAGGAGGATGAGGGGGAGGAGGACACCGTCTCAGCAGCGCAGTGGAGAGACCGTCTGTCTGCTGAGATGTCTGCCCTGGAGGAGGTGCAAATGGACCATGAGTACCTTTAGGTATTTAAAGTAGTACTAGAATTTAATATGCTGCTATCCAGAATATATAACTACAATATGTGTTTATAATATTTCGGGTGTTCATTTTGACATGTTCAGATGAATTATGTTAATAAAAACTGCTTTGAAGTGGCACCTTTTCACTTCCGCATAGAAACGCTAGGGGGAGCCAAAATGGCGGCGATGACGTAGCAGAAGGGCATCTCACAGCAGCAGACAGCAGTCGCGGCTGAATCTGTAGGAGGTTTCACTGTCATCTCAACAAGGTATAAACATATTTTCATCCGTTTTGTACATAATAGTGCGCAACTCTTTTAACCTTTTAGCCTTATTTGTGAGATTCAAGCAAACTAGTGTTGGGCAAGTTAGCTAACTCTAGTTGATATCATAAAACATGCTAACAAGGCTAATATTCGTTTTTACATTATGCCAGTCTCACTTTGGTTGCCTTAGATTTATTTACCACAATGTACATTGTAATATTCAAAAATGCTAACACCTATTAACGGTTTAATTAGCATTTTTATCAATGATTGCATCACATGTAGTCTATGTTTTCAACTTCTGCAGCTTTTTGTTCATAAAAGTAAAATATTTATTTAACTCAAGTTATTTTGATTAGCATTTATGGATATTACAATGTACATTGTGGTAAATAAATCTAAGGCAACCAAAGTGAGACTGGCATAATGTAAAAACGAGCCTTGTTAGCATGTTTTATGATATCAAGTAGAGTTAGCTTAAGCCTGGTTCACACGAGACGATTTTAAAATTGTCGGCCGATTTCACTCCGTGTTAGACCCCACACGGGGAGATTAAAAATCCTGCGTCTAACCACTTTGGTCGTGCAGTGTGTGGTGCGTAGCCACACGGCAAGATCACGCAAGCCACAAACATCACACACGAACCGACCGATATTATAAACACTTATTATACGGCTCCTCACAGCAGCAGTAGAATGCTCCATTGATTTGAATGTAATTTAAAAACGTTCTACCGGTCATTATTTTCTATAACGGACCTCTCAAAACAATAATGACCGCTGCCCATGGCAACGCACTCTCTGCTTGTCTTTCAAATGCGTGGATAACTCCGCAAGTAGTTCCGGCCACTCCGGAGCTAGCCACGCTCAATCAACACACTTAAATGTTAATCGGAGAATACTTATACATATACATTCTTCACACACGTGCACGGAAATTTTCAGAATTTTCTGGTCTTGTCTTCATGACAAAAATACTATTTCTCTGCGTCAAAAAGCGATCGTGAAAAACCCGGAAGTAGTTCTGGCCGCTCAATAAACGCAAATGCCAATCAATCAACGCAATGAAATGTTAATCGGAGAGTAATTTATACATATCCAGTCTTAATACAAGTGCACGGAAGTTTTCAGAATTTTCCGTTTACGTTTTCATGACAAAAACACTGATGTAATGCGAGAAAAGGCGATCCCGAAAAACCCGGAAGTAGATACCGGCACATTTTAAGATACCGGCACATTTTCGGACACATTTGCAGAGGATCGAATTATGGATTTAGGTTAGGTTTATGTATGGGTCACTCACTGCTGATGTTCAGAATTCTTTGTTCAGTTTTCATGCAGTTCCAGAGAGTTCTAGTTTGGAAGTTGCCAGCCTAACTGTTGCCCGCGGTTGCCGAGCAACGGGAAAACTTTTTGGGACTACTTTATTTGTTGTCATTAAATAAACTTTTGGCATTCATAAAAGTGATCTGAAGTTTATTTTGTGTGTTAAGTTGGTACAAAGCAGTATAATAAGCGGGATAATGTATAGCCTACAGGTCATTATCGGAAAATAAGTACCTTCAGGGCGGAAGCAGACCCCTCCGCTGCGCGTCGGGGTCCGCTTCGCCCTGTCGGTACTTATTTTCCGATAATGACCTGTAGGCTATACATTATCCCTTACATATTGTAGTTATATATTCTGGATAGCAGCATATTAAATTCTAGTACTACTTTAAACACTTAATTACTTATGTAAATATATGTGAAGTTGCCCAAACAAATCCACAGACAAGTCACTTTGTCACACATCCATTCACTTGTGTGTATAAAATGTTTTATTTTTTAAACAAATGTGAATCTTTATACCATCTTTTCATAGGACATGGCAGCCATCTATTGCCCCAGCCAGCCGTGCAAACCCAACAAATGGACGATGAAGTGGACACACCCCCGGTATGATGCCTCACTCGCCAGAAGAGGAAGACCAGGACCCTGATCTCTGCACACATCCATGTTGCTGGTCCTGGAGAATGGGATTCAGCAACACCCCAAACGAGTCCCTGCTTAGCCACACAGCACTGGCACTCTCAGGTTTATCCTGTATGGCTTGTTAATAGTTTTATTTTATTGTTTGTTGAATAAATGGTTACATTGATTTTCTTGTGCTATATTTTTGATTCCACAAAATAATACTTGAGCTCTCGAACTGCTTCACACATTTACCAGGGGTTTTTTGTCCCATCAAACAAGTGTATAAAATCTGTATATACAAAATATAGAAATTACATAAAAGAAATTAACCAATCATACACACCTTCAAGGGGAAATGTAAAGCCACTGTTGGGTAGACAAACACACATGTTAAGGTTTAGTCTTCGAACCCCAAAGCAGAGGGAGGCCAAAGCAGTTTAACAAAAGTCTTTAATAACCAAAAATACAAAAATACTCAAAAACGGTTGGAGCAGTGGAGACAGGGAGCAGGCCGGCCGAAGAGCAGAGCAGAGACATGAGGACTGGACGAGCACAGGATCGATGAGACGGAATTTTCTGGCAGAGGAGTGATGAGTAGACCAGGTTTATATACTGAGTAGAGTGGAGTGAGTGGATGCAGGTGTGTCTCGTCAGCAGCCCAGCAGAGACCGGCCACGCCCCCTGTCTCACACATGCTCTGGAAAGAAAGATGGGGAGAGACCAAAACAAACAGAACCATGACAGTACCCCCCCCTCAAAGGCCGCCACCCGGCGGCCCGCCGGGCTTGTTAGGATACCGGGCATAGAAGTCCCGCAGGAGACGAGCGCTCCTCGGGGCCATACCCCTCCCAGTCCACCAGGTACTGCAAACCACGGCCCCGGCGCCGAACGTCCAAGAGCCCACGCACCGTGTAGGCCGGGTGATCATCAACGACCCGGGGGGGCGGAGGGGGAACGCCCGGAGGGCTCAAGTCACTGTGAGAGACAGGCTTAAGGAGGGACACGTGAAAAGAGGGGTGCACATTCAATGAGGCAGGGAGCTTCAGCTTGACTACCGTGGGGTTGAGAACACAGTCAATCTCAAAAAGGACCAATGTACCTCGGAGAGAGCTTCCTCGACTCACACTGCAGTGGGATATCCCTGGTGGACAACCAGACCCGCTGCCCCGGCTTGTAGTCAGGCGCAGGGACGCGACGACGATCTGCCAGCCTGCGATTCCGCTCCGCCGTGCGAGAAAGCGCGGCCCGGACCTCGTGCCATATCCTGCGTGCCCTCCTGAGGTGGAACTGGATCGAAGGTACTCACTTCCTTCTCCTGAGTTTGGAATAGGGGAGGCTGATAACCGTAACAGACCATGAATGGTGACATACCCGTGGCGGAGGAGGTCAGTGTGTCGTGAGAATACTCAATCCAGGGTAGAAAAGTGGACCAGGAAGCAGGATGAGCAGCTGAGACACAACGAAGGGCAGCCTCAAGGTCCTGGTTAGCCCGCTCTGTCTGGCCATTAGTCTGAGGATGATACCCCGATGACAGACTCGCATTCGCCCCAACTGCCCGGCAGAAAGCCCGCCACACCTGGGAACAAAACTGAGGACCCCGGTCGGAGACAACGTCCTGGGGAATCCCATGTAGCCTGAAAACATGTTGTACCAGGAGATTTGCTGTTTCAAGCGCTGAGGGGAGTTTAGTGAGGGGAACAAAATGCGCTGACTTAGAGAAACGGTCCACGATTGTCAAAATAGTAGTATTACCTTCAGACGGTGGTAGACCGGTAACAAAGTCCACCGCGATGTGCGACCAGGGACGGTGTGGAATGGGCAGAGGACGGAGCAGACCGGCAGGAGGACGGTGGGATGCCTTGCCGCGGGCACAGACAGAGCAGGCCGATACAAACTCCCTAGTGTCCGTGGTCATGGAAGGCCACCAGAAGCGCTGCTTGAGCAGTGAGAGGGTGCGATGAACTCCAGGATGGCAGGCCACTTTAGAGCCATGACCCCACTGGAGCACAACAGAGCGGGCAGAAGGAGGCACTAACAGGAGACCAGAAGGGCACTCAGCTGGGACCTGAAGGTTCTGTTGGGCCTCCTGCACCACCCTCTCTACGTCCCAAGAGGCAGCTCCTACCACGCATGAAGAGGGTAGGATGGTGTCCTCACTGGAGTCAGAAGTGGTCACGGCGGAGAATTGGCGGGACAGAGCATCAGGCTTAATATTCCTGGATCCCGGTCTGTAAGTCAGTGTGAAATTGAAGCGACCCAGGAAGAGGGCCCACCGAGCCTGACGGGAATTAAGCCTGCGAGCAGAGCGAAGGTAGGAGAGGTTCTTGTGGTCAGACCATACCAGGAATGGTTGCGATGCACCCTCAAGCCAATGCCTCCACTCCTTGAGCGCAAGGACAATAGCCAGCAGCTCCCGGTTCCCCACGTCATAGTTTCTCTCAGCAGGTGAAAGCTGGCGTGAGAAAAACGCGCAGGGGTGCAGCTTCTGATCAGAAGTAGAGCGTTGAGAGAGAACAGCTCCAACACCAGTGTCTGATGCGTCCACCTCTACCACGAACTGAGCTGAGGGATCAGGATGGCACAGAACAGGAGCGGAACAAAACAGATTCTTCAATCTAACATAAGCCCGATCTACTTCAGGAGACCAGGAAAATGGAACCTTAACAGAGGTAAGTTTAGTGAGTGGGGAGACCACACTACTGTAATTGCGGATAAACCTGCGGTAAAAGTTAGCAAACCCAAGGAATCTTTGCAGTTCCTTCCTGTCAGTGGGAGTAGGCCACTCAGCTACTGCTTTTATCTTAGCAGGATCAGACTTAATTTGCCCCTTCTCAATAATGAAACCTAAAAAACTAACAGAAGGCTTGTTGAACTCACATTTCTCAGCCTTAACATAAAGTCTGTTTTCCAATAACCTCTGTAACACAAGTTTAACATGCTGGACATGTTCAGTCATGTTGCGAGAGAAAATCAAAATATCATCGAGATATACAAACACAAATCTGTTGAGCATATCCCGCAAAACATCATTAATAAGGGCCTGGAAAACAGCAGGAGCATTAGTAAGACCAAAAGGCATGACTAAATATTCAAAATGTCCTAAAGGAGTGTTAAACGCCGTCTTCCACTCATCCCCCTCTTTAATCCTCACCAAATGATAAGCATTACGTAGATCAAGTTTAGTAAACACTGTGGCATGATTTAAAGAGCTGAAGGCTGAGTCTATGAGTGGAAGCGGGTACTTGTTCTTTATAGTAATGTCATTCAAACCTCTAAAATCAATACACGGGCGAAGGGTCTTGTCTTTCTTGGCAACAAAAAAGAAACCTGCCCCTACAGGTGAGGAGGAAGGACGAATAAGTCCAGCCGCTAGGCTCTCTGTGATGTAAGTCTCCATTGCCTCCCTCTCTGGATTGGAGAGATTATACAGTTTACGGGTAGGTAACGGAGTCCCAGGAATCAGTTCAATGGAACAGTCATAAGGCCTGTGTGGGGGCAAAGAAGTTGCACGATCCTTAGAGAAGACTTCTTTGATGTCACGATACTCCGGGGGCACTAGAGACAGGTCCACAGGCCTTGAGGAAGAACTAGTCCGAGAGATAGCCGGAACAGCAGAATGGAGACAATGGGAGTGGCAAAATACACTCCAGTTGAGAACTGATTGAGTGGACCAGTCAATGTGAGGATTGTGAAGCTTGAGCCAGGGGAGGCCCAAGACTATTTGGTTTGATGGAGAGGTCACAACAAACAGGGAGATTAACTCACAATGGTTGCCTGAAACCAAGAGGGATACAGGGACAGTACGGTGAGTAATGAGAGCTAGTAGCTTACCATCTAAAGCAAAAACTCTCTTGGGATCTGAGAGGGCCTCTTTGGGGATTTTGGCCTGGGACACAAACTCAGAGTCAATGAAATTATCATCTGCACCGGAGTCGACTAAAGCCTGAACCGGGACCGAAGTGGAACTGAATGAAATAGTACCTTTGAGCTGAATGCGCTTCGAAGGGGGGTCGACAGGAGTACGGCTCACCAGTGCCCCCCCTTGCGGCTGGCGAGCCTGGTGTTTTGGCCGAGTCGGGCAGTTGAACAGAGTGTGACCCGCTTGACCACAGTACATGCAGAGACCCTGGTTGAGACGACGCTGGCGCTCCTCTTGGGTCAAGTGCATCCTTCCAAGCCGCATGGGCTCCTTTGTCGTCCCGGCTCTGGGTTCTCCGGAAGAGGCAGTGGCTCGAGGAACAGGATTCACTGAGAAGTGAACTGGAGAGCTGGAGTGGGTACGAGGGATATGGGCACTGTGCCTGACTGTTCTTTCCCTACGTCTCTCACGGAGGCGATTATCTAGCCTAATCGATAACGCAATAAGCTCTTCTAGAGTCGCTGTCTCGTCTCTTGCTGCTAGTTGGTCTTTAGCCTCTTCGCCAAGCCCCCAGAAAAAGATGCCCTGTAAGGCTTTATCGTTCCACCCAGATTCTGCAGCTAAAATCCGAAACTCAATAGAATATGTAGATACTGACCCAGAACCCTGACTCAAAGACAAAAGCTTGTGGCTAGCCTCCTCACCCTGAAGTGGGTGATCAAACACCTTCAACATTTCTGCTGTAAACGTGTCTAAGGTGTTACAGACAGGAGAACTAGCATTAGCTAACGCTACTGCCCAAGCTAAGGCCTTACCAGAAAGTAGACTCATGATAAAGGCTACTTTGGACTCTTCGGTTGAGTACGTGTAGGGCTGTTGTGTGAAAACTAACATACACTGGTGTAGGAATTGCTTACATATGCCTAACTCTCCTGAATATCTGTTGGGAGTGGGGATGAAGGGCTCACGAAATTGTGCAGACTGAAGCTGGACCGGAGCAGGTGGCAGCGGGGCAGGTGCTGAGGACTGGGCTGAGTCTGGAGCTTGAGCTTGATTAGCATCCATGGCTGTAAGCTGAATTGAAACATCATTAAGTCGATTTCCGAGTTGATGAATTCCAGCAGTGAGGTCCCTTATCGACTCCATTACTGATGAAATGGCTTGGCCATGTTGTCTCACCAAAGCACCTTGTGCAGCGAGAGCCTTAATGGCTTTCTCAGCCTCAAACAGCGCTGGGTTAAGTCTCTCGGCCTCTGCGGGGCTCATGTTGGCCAGAAAATTCTGTTAAGGTTTAGTCTTCGAACCCCAAAGCAGAGGGAGGCCAAAGCAGTTTAACAAAAGTCTTTAATAACCAAAAATACAAAAATACTCAAAAACGGTTGGAGCAGTGGAGACAGGGAGCAGGCCGGCCGAAGAGCAGAGCAGAGACATGAGGACTGGACGAGCACAGGATCGATGAGACGGAATTTTCTGGCAGAGGAGTGATGAGTAGACCAGGTTTATATACTGAGTAGAGTGGAGTGAGTGGATGCAGGTGTGTCTCGTCAGCAGCCCAGCAGAGACCGGCCACGCCCCCTGTCTCACACATGCTCTGGAAAGAAAGATGGGGAGAGACCAAAACAAACAGAACCATGACAACACATTTGTTTTTAAAATCCCCAACACATCAGAGCTGTGGTTTGCCAAATGTTCTCAGGTTGGAAGCGTTAGATATGGCCCCACCAAATTCACTCTGAGAAAGTCCCAAAGTAAATAGATATTAATTTATTTAACTTACTTACGGCTTAATCTATTAATGTGAAGACCTTGAGACCTTGATCTATAGCATTTCAAATGTATGTTATACTTTTATGGGCTTTTTCGAAATGTAAATCAAACAAAAATAGTTGATTTTTATTTGTTTTTATTTTCAATCAGCTTCTCGAGGAGGCCAAACAGCCTGTCAAAATTGGCACTCCTCTCCTGTGCCCGCCGCTCATCCTCCTCCCTCTGCATCCTCAGATCCTCCCTGTACAGCTCCACCAGCTCGCTCTCCCTCTTCCTCTTCCTTCTCGTTCCTCTCTGCTGCTCCGCCTCTGGCTCTTCCTCCTCCTGCTCCGGCTCCTGCTCTCTGGCCTGGCTTGGCCCTGGTCTGGCATCAGGGATGGAGGCGATTAGGACAGGAGGGTTGATGGACGGCTTCTGCCCCAACACCTCATCCATGATGCCAAACCAGGGCCAAGTCCCAGCAGTGGGGTTCCCCTCCACGCCCTGGCCTGTTCCAGGGCATTTACAGTCCTTTAACACAAGAAATATATGTGGAGTCATGATGGGCTCATGTCGGCACAGGCAGACACACACACACACACACACACATGCAGACACACTCACACACATGCAGACACACTCACACACATGCAGACACACTCACACACATGCAGACACACTCACACACACACGCACACGTGACAAACTCACAAAAACAAGATTGATTTTCATACTTTATACTTTTTTTTTCTAATTGTCCCACTTCTTACGGGCCTGCAGGGGCGTGACCACCTCCTGCAGGTCAAGCTTTTCCAGGATAGTCCTATAGAAAAGACAGAAACAATAAAATAAAGAAACAGAAAAACTTACTTTGTGTTAGAGAATTCCTGAAATTATTGATCATGTTAATGCAGAAAACAATAGTTATACGTTTCTCATTTTTGTTCTTTTGTTATGATTGATATACTCTTCTACAACTTAATTATAGATTTTTAATACGGATGACTGTTGTATTTGAGAATAGCACCAGCTTGTCTAAACCCTTGTATACCCATGTATATATTAAGTATTAAACTCACATTAAGAACAAAATATGCAGTCCTAAAGTCAATTCCAGATAACATAAATTAATCATAAGCTAAACAGTGACATTTCTCAAACAGCTCGTACCTCCAGGCCGTGCTGGCGGAGAATTTCGCCCCAGTGAAGAGGACGTCGTTCTCCGCCCGCACCCTTATGAAGGTCTCCGTCATCTCCTTCGTCCCTATGAACAAAATAAAACGTTAAAACTACATAAAGGAATAAAATATAACTAATTGTGACAATACTAATTTAGTTACAGTTACAACTAAGCTATCATATGCCACAGAAGAAAATTACACTCTAAAACAAATGAAGTAGCGCAATTTGTCGCTTAAAATTCAAATAATATTTCTTTATAAGTGTTATTAGTCATGTAAGAATATTATAATATGAAATATACTTACATTTATACACTACAGTGGGGACAGGGGTAGCTGCTGCTGGTGCCTCCATACTGAAAATAAAACCCCGCGAATCGAACCCCGCGAACTCAACGCGGGGAAGGCAGCGAAGCATACATCAGATGCATCCGTCATATCTGCTCCAAAAGTGGCCGTTTCCATAGAGACGAAGTCACGATGCCTACGCTGGCGAGCTCGCCAAGTGGTTTTGGACACCCCTGCAATAGCCGTCGCTTGAGGAAGTGACGTCACGAGCCTACATATCCACCCTACGCGGCCCGATGCCTAGCGTTTTGGACACAGCCTATGGCTCAGTACCAGACTCATGTGTGAAGTGCAGCGAATTACATGGGTCTGGCGAGAGTCAGGCTACAAAAACTTTGCCCCACTGGAGCAATCCAAAATGGCCGCGAGTGGTCCCGCCCATCTGCGCATGTGTCAGCCGGCGCAACTCCATTTATTTGAACGAGAGACTTCAAAAATTCACAGCAAGTAAATTAGAGTGGACCAAAAATATCCACCCCCCTCAGCATTGACACACATGTGGAACGGAGCTTTGGGCCAAGAGCCAACTTTTGGTCCATCCTGTAAAGACGTTTTTGAGAGGTCTGCCAATGCTATATGTTAGCAATGGCTAATTCTACTCCTGGGTCCACCCCCATCGGCCCGGGGTGGTATTGCAAGCATGTCAGTGCACGTCATTTTGGCCACTTTTGAGCTGGGACCCTCCCCCACTGGTAGTGACAAGCGCTGATAGCTTGTTGTACTTGCAGAGTAATGGCAGTATTTTACACACCTGAATTACAAACAGAGATTGCATTGGAGTTCTGCAAAAATGATCGGAAGAATTGCATTCAAGTCAATGGAGTGCTGCTGCTTTGAGGAGCTCTATAACAAATTATAATTAAATATTAGAATATATTCTAATGTTTTTAAATTGATACATTCGGACGCGAAACTAGCGGCATTCTTTTACTTATATATTGTGTTAGCAGTGCGTTGCTTTAGTGCCATTTCATCAGTGATTGTTGCACAGCTTACAAGAAGTTGTGCTAATGCTAATGTTAGCATACGTATCAGATCGCAAATAAAACTAGGTGGGTCTGTGTTATGAGAGCGTAGGGGAAATGAGAAGCCATTGAGCGAGTTGGTGGGCGGTGCTAAACATTCAAACATTGTAGAAACGGGTATAGCGCCTTTAAAGCTGCACTAACTGACTTTATTTTTGTATTAATTACTAAAATGCTATCCATGTCCATGTAGTGCATTGGGATATACATCATTTTGAAGAAAAAGTAGCGCAGATTTGTGCTGGCGTGACATTATATTTTAGATCGAGTTTTGATGAAACAAGGAAGAGAATGTGTTTCGGGTCGCAGATTGTGACCAATCACAGCGCACCACTGGCCCCCACTTTTGTGAGAAATCTACAGGTCCGTTAGCACAGACAGCTGAGTTAGCACAACAAGCCGAGGAGCTAACCTGAAGCTTCCTCGTCTTCGTCACCGGTTACTGCTTACACAGCGAGACAGCCATCCAAAAGAAAGTCTCGTTCCTCCGCGCTTCCCGGTTCTATCGTTCTATGGTCACGCCATCCACGTGCAAATCCATGTCCATGTATTATCCATATTGAGAGACACTAGCTCCGTCCCAACGGTGGGTGTGTGTGGGGGGCGATAGCTTCGTGGGTGTGGGGAGGGGAGCAGAAAGAGAGAGGCCAGCGAGTCCGCGGCTTCAAAATCCCAAAGTCAGTTAGTGCAGCTTTAAACTAGCCTAGGCCAGAATAAACCCCGGGGTGTATTCTGGCCTAGGCTATTTTAACCCCGGGGTGTAAACTGGCCAGGGGGTTTAAAACGGCCTGTTACTCGGTACTATGGGGATGGAACCACGGATGAGGCAGTACGGAAAAGCACGCAAATCCCCAATACCATCCACTAGTGGAAACGCAAAATAACTGCGCCGAAGCTCACTGTACTATATCGTACTGATACTGTGGAAAAGCGGCATTAGACAAATAGATACCATACTGATCCCCGTAGGAGAAATTCAGGTGTCCAGTAGCAGCAAAAATAAAAAACAAAATTGATCATTCTAAAAAGTTAAAAACAGTAATAATAAGCAACAGCCTCACTGCTAATTTAGGGTGTATTCAGACCTGCACATTTGCTCCACTTTAAACGGACCAGGATTCGTTTGGAACTCTGATCCGAAGCTTTTATGCAGGTCTGAATACACACAAACGAATCCTGGTCCGGACCAAAGAACCGAACCGAGACCCACTTTTTGAGGTGGTGTCGGTCCGCTTTCAAATGAATTCTGGTCCAAGTCGAATCAGGTCTGAATACAACCGGTGTCGATCCGACACAACTCCAAGATACGTGCGCATTTTTTTGGGCTTAACAAGCCGCAGATAGTCCTGCTTAGCTTCAGAGGTCTGAGGCGATCTGGCTTTCAAATGCACTGTTTGACAATTGGGACAGATGGATTACAAGATGATAGGTGGATCATTTTGATTTAATTATTACAATGGAACAGTAATAATAGCAGTAAAATAGCTGGTGGATTTGTGTTATTCATGTTCTCAAACGAAGATAATTAATTAAACTCTTATTGCAATGGGATAGTTTTCATCTGTAGTCATGTGTTCAGGTGGAAAAAATAATCAAAAATTACCATAGTAACCAAAACATAGCTTTACATCCCTTGCAGTGACATGTATCTTTAGTCATCTGCCCATTTCCTTATTGTCTTTAAACTGTGTGCTGTGTTTCTAGTCTTTAAATGGTGTTGAACAAATAAACTTAACTTACTTACTTGGTGAAATAGTTCTTCTCTAGTTCAGTTTCAAGCGACACTCTTTAGACGTCATTTCTGAATTTTCTTGGACGAATAATGTATTGAGTTGTTCATTTTCTGTCTAAATTCTCTTTCCCTTTAGCTTCTTTGTGCATTTTCCCATTCTGTGACTGGTGCAGGTGACCCACAGGCGTCTAAATTCATAGATTCACTGCGACATTCATATCCTCACTGGTTTTTCTTTGATTTATCTCGGAACCAGACAATCTCGCCGCCACACAGCTGTTCTCCCCAGAAACAAAGACTCCAGTAAAATGACAAGCCAACCCCATTACCACGCAACCTCCTTCAAATGGGAAAAATGTGAGCAAAATTATCAAAGATTGTTGTTTCGTGGCCGTCGTTCGGTTCAAAGTCGTGGAAATTAAAATGAAAGCAAACTTTGATGAGGTGTTGTGGTAATCATGCGAATGTGCAGTGTTTTTACATCTGCTTTTTGTGTGATTTCTATTTTCGTCTGATAGAGGTTTCTGGAGTTTGCTTTTTTTTGCTTTGGTCTTGACAAGTTTCGCAATCGTTAAGGTAAAGTTATTTTTCAACGCAATAACACATTTTGTTTTCCACATTCAAAGTCCTCGGCAGGTTTTCAGAAACTGTCACAGCCGAGTTTGGGAAATGACTTTCCCAAACATCACATATGGTCAGTTAGTTCATCCACAACATGGGAGAGCCTTAAAAGTAATGCCTTGTGTGTAAGTACAGTAGGTCAAGTTTATAAATATAGCTCTGTTGTTTCTTTCTTTGTTAAGCTCATCTCACACTTTGAGTTGCCTTGAATTTTGAACTCGCTACGTTGGCTTCTGTTTCTCAAGACTTACACACTTTACAATAATGAAAGTCTGTGCTGAGTTCAACTGAGGAATTATGTCATTTAAAGGGTCTGTACTGGTTTCCCTTTTGTCGAAGGTGTTGTGTTTGAAAAAAACAATAATAACAAGGACATTTTATTTGTAGAGCAAAGTTCATACAAAAGACAACTCAAAGTGTCACAATACACAGTTTTTTATGGCAAAACACATTTGTTTAGATGAAAGTTAATACAAAATAAGTACCATATGTAACATGCAGAGTTTGTACTATGTTTGTCTAATCCCGAGCAGGTGGATTGCATCGGTTATAAGTGCTCCAGGAGCTGCATGTGTCACAAGCAGAAGATTCTGGCAACGAAAGTGTGATTGTAACAACTTGTGTTGTATAGATTCCAAATATTGTGTCTCTTTGTGGTTAAGTGCGTTGTATTTTACCTTTATTTTAAATGCTAATAACATTTTCCTGGTTAATTTTTTGTGATTCATTCTTTGTAAACTATAAACCTGTTGTGACACGTCTGCCCCAGAAACTAAGCTATGTCTGTCTTCACAATAGTTTTATTAATCAGTGTTCCTGTTAACAGAATGAATAATTAAGATAAAGAAAACATAGAAAATCATATTCTCATCGTATGGTGTCAGTCGTAGTCTTAAAGGTACACTGTGTAATTTCTAGTGCCTCTAGCGTTGAGATCTTATATTGCAGTCTCATATATTGAGATTTGAGTACGGGTGCCTGTAGAGTTAAGGAGACTCTTGCCTAAACTGTTTGACAGTGCTCCTCAACTCTCAGTCTTTCACAGACTGCCAAGGAAAGAATACTTTAGTTTGATAAATGACCGGATCTCTCCAAACTTCTCGGGCACTTGACAGACGCGTGGGGCCAACATGTAAACAAGACCGCGTTCAGACAGCAGCACCCTACACAGAGGCTCTGAGTTTTACCATGGATCTATTGTAATATATAGTTTTACAAACGCGGTGTGAAGAGAAGAGACGCATGGAGGAATAACGTCTGTGTGAGGTTAAAACTGTGGTGATCAAAGAAGCAGGAGACATACAGAGCCGTGGCAGGACATGGCAAAGCTCATGTTAGCATTAGCGTTAGCCACAGCGCCCAATCTGCATCACTGTAAGAAAAACAGAACATTCACTCTCGCTGCTGATACATTATTCTGGCAATCGTTTTGTGGGGATTCTGTGTGTTTTATTTGATGCTTGTCCCTGAATAAGTTTAGTTGAAACTTGTGACATAGTAGTTGGACTGCGCTTGGATCGGGTCAGAACATCCTGAGACTGTGTTGCAGATTCTGACTCGTACTTATTGTCAGTGTGAAAAAGTTACGTATTGTTCACGTGTGAGTCTGTTGTGTACAAAATACACCATGTACCTCATGTTGTTAACGCTGTCTTTGTGCGTGTGGTTTGCGATGTTTACACTTCGCTGCTATGATGCTGGATGCTGGACATAATTATTTATCTAAAAGATTGTTGTTCCGATCGTTCTTTTACATAACTGTGGTTCTTTTATATAACTGTGGTCCTCCATGGTTCCTTCTTCCAAATTGTGAAGGCACGGTGAAATCAATATCAGTAGCTTATGAGAAACGAAAACGCGTTTCTCGCTTTTTGTCCTTATCCACCACCGGTTTTCAAGATGGCGCATTTACACGGATAGTCCTCCTCTCTCATGGACACTTATAAATTCAATTCTAAGCCTATGAATACAATTAAAAAAACATGGTGGAGGTAAATATTCTTGAAAAGGTCACATTTGTTATTAGTTAACATGTTTTTTCACATGGAGCAGCTGTAAAAATTATACAGGGTGGCTTTAAACAATGCACTGTGATGTTTAAATTCTCAGGAAAAGAAAACAGTTGATCATTTCTTTTCTCATTGTTTTTTTCTCAAATGCTGGTTCCATATTGCCCAGTGTTCCATTGTACCCGTTACCATGGAGATCCCGTACTATGTCATGACGGCTTTGTGATGTCATCAGTTAGAATCCACATATTCTGTGGTGGAGGTCAGTCCAGGAAGTCCACTTTTGTCAAAACCCACATCTGAAGCCGCCGCCCACAGCGTCACAGCAGATTAGAATCCACGTTTATAACTCACAAGGAAGTTATAAAGTCACCTCAACAGAACGATGCCTGAAGAGAATGAATGCAGGATGTTGCCAGAGGCCACAGAATTCCCGAGTAGCATGACTGGACGTATCAGTCGGCTGACCCTGGAGGAGCTGAACGAAGAAAGAGGCTTCGACCCGACACCACCGCCCAGAATGGAAGACTTAAAGCTGCACTAACTGACTTTGGGATTTTGAAGCCGCGGACTCGCTGGCCTCTCTTTCTCCTCCCCTCCCCGCACCCACGAAGCTATCGCCCCCCACACACACTCACCGTTGGGACGGAGCTAGCGTCTCCTAATATAGATAATACATGGACATGGATTTGCACGTGGATGGCGTGACCATAGAACGATAGAACCGGGAAGCGCGGAGGAACGAGACTTTCTTTTGGATGGCTGTCTCGCTGTGTAAGCAGTAACCGGTGACGAAGACGAGGAAGTTTCACGTTAGCTCCGCCGCTTGTTGTGCTAACTTAGCCGTCTATGCTAACGGACCTGTAGATTTCTCACGAAAGTGGGGGCTAGTGGTGCGCTGTGATTGGTCACAATCTGCGACCCGAAACACATTCTCTTCCTTGTTTCATCAAAACTCGATCTAAAATATAATGTCACGCCAGCACAAATCTGCGCTACTTTTTCTTCAAAAGGACGTATATCCCAATGCACTACATGGACATGGATAGCATTTTCGTAATGAATACAAAAATAAAGTCAGTTAGTGCAGCTTTAAGGTTTCATAGCAGAAAGGATGAGCTAATGCAACCAATCAGAGAAGTAGAGTTCATGCAATCATTCAGACTGATGGGTAAGCGTCCCAGCTCACCCCTGGACAACGCTATACCCACCATCAACATAGACCAGATCCATCCTCTGATTGACTCCTGGAGGACTGTACAGACCACAGGCTTCAGAGAGCACGAGGTTCGGACACAAATGTCACAGCTGTTCATGGATATTATCATGAACTTTTCTGATAAAATCCTCAGCGGTGTGGGTAAAATCATCGCCCAGAAACAGTTTTCGCCAAGTGATGCTTTGCTCTCAGAAGATGCCGTGAAAGACGCCCTGAACGCTGTCCTCCGAACCAGCTTTAAGACCAGTTCTGCTGATGAGTATTATGCACTTGAGAAGGTCCATGAGCAGATAAGCGCAGAGGTGACCGACACTGTCAACTCGGTTCTGAGTCGCATGGGATCTCCTGGAAGCAAACTGACGGTAGACAAAGAACAAGGCTACACCCCGTCCAGATACAATCTCCTCAGTATTGTCTCCAATGCCCAGAAATTCATGCAATGCTGTTGGCCATGCAGGACAAATATTCCAGGTGAGGAGAAGCCAGTGGACAAAGAGCTACAAGAGAGGGCCAAACATCTAAAAGTCAGAAATGAACTCCGACGGAACGGGCTGGGAGTGGCCGAATCTGTGGAGACTGCAAACCTGTCTCAGCACGGTGCCTCTGGGATTTCGAGTTTTGTTACAGAGATCAAACCCAGATCCGACTCTGCAACCAGTGAGACACAAGAAACACAAGTGGAAGAGGAGTCCTGCTTTAACTAGCACAGGTGAAGTCCGGTCTTGAAGGATTACATCTCTGCTGTTTGCGTACTTGTTGACTATTTGCCTTAAACCAGCTCCTAAAATTCTGAGGCCATGGTACTCGGCCAGAAAACCATAGTAGCAGATTGGACTATTGCGCCTGCAAAGATCTGGTTTTAAATTGATCCAATTTATGTATGTGTATGTATTAATCCAATTTATAAAGCACATTTCATAAACAAGCAGTTTACAAAGTGCCGAGCAACAACAGCTAAGACTACAACAAAAACTACAACTACAACATAAAAACAAGCAAAAATAAATAAATAATGATAATTTAAAAAAAATATACATCTAATATGTTTCTCATTTGTTGTTAGTATTCCCTGACAAGCACAACTATAGGGAAGCTTTTTCACATTCCAAAGCAGGGGTCTCCAACCTATAGCTCGCGAGCTACCGGCCCCATTTTGAGTAGCTCGCGCAAGGCTATCCATTATTTTCCTAAATTTAGCATGAGAAAATAAATAAATAAATACATTCGCATTTTGGTCGATTTGGCCTATCACATTATCATATCCGTTGGTGTGTCCCGCCCCATTTACATAAATAACACATTATTTGTCTGTAAGCTGTCTATCAAAGGATTGCGCCTTTCAGTCAAACTAATAAGCAGCGTTTGTTTCGTGCACGAGCCTTGACAGTGTTGATGCAGCATCATGAGCTCTGCTAAGAGGAAAACTTACGCTTTTCACGAGCAGTGGGAAACTGACTTTTTATTCACAAATGTCAACAATAAATGCGTTTGTCTGATCTGTGGGTTCAGTGTGGCTGTTGGTAAGCGATGCAACGTTCAGCGCCATTTCGTCTCAGTCCACGGTAACTTTTCACACAAGTTTCCCACGGGGAGCAACCTACGAAAAGAAAAGGTGATGGAGCTCAAATCAGCTCTTCAGAGACAGCAATCTTTATTCACCAAGACAACAAAAAAAGGGTTGTGCGGCCACGGAGGCGTCATTCAAAGTGGCACACTTACTAGCAAAACACAAAAAGCCCTTTACCGATGGAGCCATCGTGAAGGAGGCTATGACCGCGGTGGCTGAAACTTTATTTGATTATCACAAAAGTAAGAGAGATTCTTTCTGCTATTTCTGATGTGCAACTTGGGGCAAATACAGTGGCCCGGAGAGTTACTGCGCTGTCACAGGATGCCACAAAACATCTGGATATGGACATTGAGAAAAGTCAATGGTTTTCCCTTCAGTGTGACGAGTCGGTGGACGCGAGTGACACCGCACAGCTGGCTCTTTTTGTTTGTATGGTGTTTGAGGACTTCTCCACCAAAGAGGAGTTTTTGACCTTGCTTGCACTAAAAACCTCCACCAGGGGAATAGACATCTACAACGTCGTAAAAGGATATGTGGTTGATAAAAAGTTCCCTATTAGAAAGCTGGTGTCCATAACGAGTGATGGAGCCCCTGCTATGACTGGCCGCCACAACGGATTTATTGCGCATTGCAAAGCGGACCCGGACTTTCCCAAGTTTTTGAACTACCATTGTATTATACATCAGCAAGCCATATGTGCAAAGGTTCTGGATTTTGACCATGTTATGGGACCTGTTGTCAAGATAATCAACTCCATTTGAGCAAAGGCAAAGCAACATAGGAGCTTCAAATTGTTCCTGGAGGAATGCGCCGCGGATCACAGGGATCTTCTCCTTCATTCGGACATCAGATGGTTAAGTCGCGGTAAGCTATTGCAACGCTTTATTTCTTTGCTGGATGAAATCAAGACTTTTGTGGCGGCAAGGGGGGAAGAAATTACGTTGTTAAATAATACGGAGTGGCTTCTTGATCTTGCATTTCTGACTGATGTAACAGATAAAATTAACCAACTGAACACACAGTTACAAGGCAAAGATAAACATGATGATCAGTGCTGTGAGAGCATTCAGCGCTAAGCTCTCGTTGTACATCAGCAGGTGAAAAACAAAAAGTTACAGCACTTTTCTTCTCTCTCAAAGATGTGTGAATAAAATCCAGGAGCAGCTAGTGCTTTGAATGTGGACAAATATTGGGAGCTTTTGGCAAAACCTGGACAGGAGTTTGTTGACAGATTTGTTGACTTTGACAAACTTCAGCCTTGTGTGACATTTATGGCAAACCCCTTCATGGATGTGGACATAAGTGACATTTCTGGTCAGATGGCAGTACTTTTTGGTATTGATCCTGTAGAAATGGAAATGGAGGTGAAAAACCTACAAAACAGTGTGCAGCTCAAGTCTCAGCAAAGTTCGGGACATTTTTGTAGCCTTGTGGATCCAAATGACTTTAAGAACCTTAATGAGGTTGCTTTGAAAGTGTCTGCTCTGTTTGGGTCCACTTATCTTTGCGAGTCAGCTTTTTCGGACATGAATGCAATCAAATCTAAGTACAGGACGAGATTGACTGATCAACACCTGAATGATGCCATCAGGGTGAATTTGAGTAGCTATACTCCACAATACTCCAGTCTTGTTGAGGCCATGCAGTGTCAGCCATCCCACTGAGTATGTTTCAGCTTGAGCTTTTTGTTAGAGTTAAGTTTACATACACACACTTTGTTTTAATTGTGGCAATATCAAGTGTTCTTTGTTAGTTTGCTAATAATATTCTTGTTATGTATGCATGTTTCTCACTGTGTGCATTTTCTTTAAACCATAACGGAAAAATAAATGTTTCCGAGCATAAGTAGCTCACGCCTGATTTTTTTAAAGAGCGACTAAACACCAAATCAACTTTTTTCAACTCATAAACTGCATAAATATGTTTATTGTAGTGCTGTCTACATATCCTGGTCATTTTTTTGACATTTTAGTTCAAATTAGATAAAATATCACTTTTGAGCCAAAAAACGTCTGTGTGGCGCCCTCTCAACCTTTTTGGTGGTACTACATTTGAATTTGGTTCTGGCCTCTCCATTGACTCTGAAGTTCTCTATGACATCAGTTGTTTTGTGTGACGTCAGTCTGTCAGAGCCAGTGACGTGAACCCATTCAACTCTCACACACGCCCCAGCTGCAGTTTGGAGTATTCTGGCGCCATCTAGTGGATTTAAATGAAATTACATGAGTAATTCTGAGATTATTGAGTGTGATTAGGTTCAGGTGTGTAGCTTTACAATTATCTTAGTGTGTAAACAAGGGTGGAATGAGACTTTCTGGTCTGTAAACTATTGCTTTAAGCAGCAATGACAACTGTCTGTTTTTTTATGTGTGACAAGCGAGCTGTCAATCACAGCCCAGACCACGCCCAACTCTAAGCCCCCCTTCTTGTCCCTTGGTCCTCCAGGAAACGCCCTTTTAAAAGAAAATGTTCAAATGTTCATGTGGGCGGAGTAAGGCTGGGCACAGGTGTTTAGTCGCTCTTTAAATTAAAGTAGCTCACAGAGCAAAACGGTTGGAGACCCCTGTTCTAAAGTGAACCGGGATGAAGCACTGGCCTCTCCAAGCTGAAGCCGTTTCCCATTTCAGAACGGGATTCAAATCGTGGTGTTTTATTCTGGTCTATTTAATTTGTCAAATTTGTAGTGGAGAGTCACAGTCAGGTTAAGGTTAAGGTTTACAATAGTTAATTTGCTGAAGTTTAGGGTTGGGGATAAGGTAACAGTTTGCTTGCAGCTGGATGTAATGCCAACATTTTAGAGAGTCTCAGACTGAAACAGCCCAGAACCAGCACTTTGGTGGAAAAGAGTACTCTTACTTACAGTGGAATTTCTATAGTTGTAAATGTTTTCTCTTTAGCCTGCATTTTCGCCATGTTTATGAAAATATATCACAAAAAAAGGTTTATCTCTGTATCTAAACATTGAGCATTTATTTCAGATTCAGTTTATTTGCTATTTAAAGTAAAACCAAATTGGATACACATGCAAAAAGTCTCCCAGTGTGCACCAGACATTTTAAAACAGCTTTAACCACGACCCATTTCCACTACTATAGACTTTTGTGATGTCTTTATTGAAATTATTTATTTTGAGACGGACTTAGCTCGAAAGTTTGCTCAATACATAGAAATAGAAAGTAATCATTCTCTATTTTGAAGAGAGGATTTCTTGACAAAGATGGCTTGACATATTATGAATAAGGAAATATCCCCAAATTAAGACAAAAGGCTGTGTCATCAAAAATCTGAGAAAATGCAGCGGATACGAAATGACTCTATTAAAAGTTCTGGGGAACACTCGGAACGCACGGCACAGGTCAATGATTTGGCTTTGTGTTTGCGGAAGTACATTTTCAAACCAGCGACTACAGTAGTGTTAATAGTTTCACTTTTGAATACAATAGTCTATGTGGCAGCATCATTATTGTTTATTCTCCCAGCTCTTGTTTAAAAGTCTGATCAGCGCTGCTCCCAAACACATTATGTAAATGGGCGAAGAAGTGATCAAGCACAAAGACTCTGTGCTAAACTGAACTGTGCTGCAATTAACTGGCGCTACTTCAATCCAGCTTTATTTAAATGCCGATATGGAACGCAAGGTCAGGTGAATATGAGCAATTTAGCATCACTTTCCTTTAAAAACAAAACAAACAAGTATTTAGAAGAATGTTCCTGAAAGACAGAATCTGCATTTAGAAAGCGAAGAGTTTTTTTGTGTTATTGGCTGCATAGAAAAACTTAATGCAGCAGTTGTTGCGTTCTTCTCGGCCAATTCTTCGTGTTTTGTTAATGTACACAGATCACACTATTAAAGATTCCTAAATGTCATTTTCCTCAACTAACATAACAACATAAAAACATTGATCGTTCCAGAGTCAAATATATCCTATCCCCAGATACCAATAAAATGCAGGTGAATTTGGAGTTTGATCGTTATCTTTATAATAAGGTTTCAGCCATAGACTGTAAATATTAACGGACGTAGTCACACCTATCTCCGCCGCTCTAACTAATGCGCCACAATTTTTGCGGTGTATGGGCAGTTTTAAAATGGCAGCGTGGGCTGGAAAATGTGAAAAAACACATCCGGCACGA